GATTATAGAAAAAAAGAATTAAAATAATTTTAATACTATTAAACAAGTTTATACTTTTTATTATCAATGTTAAAACTTGTTTTAAACAAATTTTTAATTTTTAATTTTAATTTTCAATAATTACTAATTTTATAAAAACCAAATACTTTAAATTAGTCATTCATGATACTTTCACTATTAATTTCTCCTAAATACTTTTATTCTTATCCTTTTTTCACTTGAGTTTTAATGCACAATTATTAGCTTATATCCAACAATTTCATATATGCAGGAACTCTTTAATGGACTTCATAGAACCAGTCGTGAATATTGTGAAGAATGTTAAGAAATATTTCAAGTATCAGATATGTCACAATGATTATGTCAATGAATTTAAAGAAAAGCAAACACAGCTGAAGCGCCGACGGCAAGACGTTGAAGAAGAACTGGATGCTCAACTTAGGCAGCCAGGGAAGATTGCAAAGAAGGAAGTTCAAGCTTGGCTAGAGGAAGCAGAGCAAGAAGCTGCAGAAAAAGTGGTTGAAGATCTAATCTGCAAAGGGGGCTTTTTGACATATATTTTCTCCTCAAGAAAGCTCGATAAAAGGACTCAATCACTGACTGAAGGAATATTTAAGCAAGGAGAAAAGTACACTAGTGCTGATGAGAGTTTGGTCGTAGATACTCCCTTAATTCAGTATTGGGCAACTGTATTTGAAGAAAAGCAAGAGGAGCTGAAGCTCCGACAGAAAGACATTGGAGCAAAATTGGAGACTCAACTTATGCAGCCTGGAAAGATTCCAAGCATGGAAGTTAAAGACTGGTTGAAGAAAGCAGGCCAACAAATTCCCATAAAGGTTGAAGATCTAATCAACCAAGGGGGATGCTCCTCTCTATCCAACCTCAGGAGAAAAATTGAAGAATTGAAGCAAATATTTGAGCAAGGAGAAAAGTACACTAGTGCTGATGAGAGATTGGTCGTAGATACTCCCTCAATTGAGTATTGGGCAACTGTATTTGAAGAAAAGCAAGAGAGGCTAAAGCACCAAAAGGAAGACGTTGAAGCAAATTTGAAGACTCAGCGTATGCAACTTGGAAAGATCGCAAGGAAGGAAGTTGAAGAGTGGCTAGAGAAAGCAGGCCAACAGATTGGCATAAAGGTTGAAGATCTGACCAGCCAAGGGGAAGGTTCCTCTTCATCCAACCTCAGGAGAAAAATTGAAGAATCGAGGCAAATACTTGAGCAAGGAAAAGAATTCACTAATGCTGGTGTGATTTTGGTCAGAGATGATCACTCAATCAAAGGATTTCCACTTCTCGTTGAAAAATGTAGTGGCAGGGATGATATACAAGAAGAAATTCTGGAATGGTTGAAGGGAGACAAGGTTGCAAGAATTGCAGTTTCGGGAATGGGTGGTGTGGGCAAGACAACAATTATGAAGAATGTCCACAACCAACTGTTGAATGAATCCAAATTTAAGAAAGTTATTTGGGTAACAGTGTCAAAAGACTTTAACATTACTGTCCAGCAAAAAAAGAAGTTTGATATTCTCCAGTTTCAGAAAAAGATTGCAAGTAGCTTGAAACTAGAACGAGAGCCAGATCATGAGAATGAAACCACGCTTGCTGCATTGATTTCACAAAGGTTGGGGCAGGGCAGCTTCCTGCTAATTCTGGATGATGTGTGGGAGCCTTTTTCTCTAGAAGATGTTGGAATTTCTAATCCAGTTGGAAATAATGGTTGCAAGTTAGTGCTCACGACACGGTCAAAAGATGTTGCTCGTGCAATGGATTGTAATGTGATCCATGTGAACCCTCTTCGACCTAAAGAAGCATTAGAATTATTCTCGGAGAAAATTGGAAGTGATGTGTTTTCAGATGGCAAAATTAAAAGAGATATAGAGCCATTTTTTAAGCAAATTTTGCAGAAATGTGATGGAGTACCCCTTGCTATTGTGACAGTGGCAAAATCAATGAAAGGGAAATTACTTCCTCGTCCTTGGAAGTTGGCACTTTCTGAATTCAGTAAATTTGAAAGCATTATTGATTGTTTGAAATTCAGTTATGAATGCCTAGAACAACAATGCCAGGAGTGTTTTTTATGTTGTGCATTGTATCCTGAAGATTATGTAATCAAAAAGGAGGAGTTAATTGAGTATTGGATTGAGGAGGGGCTTATATATAAAGAAGGGAAAACTAGGGAGGCAATGAATTGGAAGGGTCATGATATACTCGATAAGCTAGTCGACAACTGCTTGTTGCAATCGGTTAAACATAGTGACTTAGGAGAATGTGTGAGTATGCATGATCTTCTCCGAGAAATGGCACTGGAAATCAGTCCTCGATTCTTGGTGAAAGCCGGCATAGCCTTGGAGAAGTTACCAGAGGAGCATGAATGGAGAGAAAATCTTTTGAAGGTTTCTTTAATGAGGAATGACATAACAGAAATTCCTTCAAGCATGCCGTCTCCAAAGTGTCCTATGCTCACAACCTTGCTGTTGTCCAATAATAAGATTTCAACAATTCCAGAAGCCTTTTTTGAGCATATGCTTGGGCTCAAGATCCTTGATCTTTCCAAGAATCGTCAGCTAAGTAGGCTGCCGAGTTCTATCTCCAAATTGGAGAAGCTTACTACATTATTGCTATGGGGATGTGAGTCCTTAAGAGAGGTACCAGCATTATCCAACCTTGTAGGGTTAAAAAAGTTAAACCTTTTAAGGACATCAATTGAAGAACTACCGCAAGGCCTCAACATGTTAACAAATCTAAAATATCTTGCTCTTCGTGGAAGATTATCTGAAACTCTTGATGAACCGCTACAAAATCTCTCCAAACTTCAGCATTTACAAGTAATTGGCGATCTCTATGCCGAAACAGAATTTAAATGGGAGACGATTGGAATTTGGGGGAAGCTTCAAAACCTTGAGAAGCTGGATCTTGGGATTTTGGATAACTTGAATACGGTGTTTGGGGAAGTAGGAGCAATTGCTGAGTCAGCATCGCTACCAGCTGGCACATTTTCCTCTCTTCAATATATTAGTGTTTGGCGATGTAATAAAATAAAGAAGTTATGCTCGGTAAGGTGGTTGGGATATCTCCAGAAACTACAGACTGTTGAGGTTCAGAGTTGTGGGCAACTGGAGGAGATAATAGGGTCTGAATCTAAAGAAGGAGAAAAAGTCACCCTACCCAACTTAGAAAGGTTGGAATTGACAAGTTTGCCCTTATTGAAGACCATCTATACCGGTTCTTTGATTTGTGATTCCATCAAGAAGATTCAAATTTCTGGTTCTAAAAATATAAAGAGTGTTTTTTGGTCCGGGTTCAACCCACTTCCAAATCTTGAATATCTGGAACTTACCAATTTAAAGGATCTGAAATCTGTGTTTGATGAAGAAGGTCTTGGTTTATCGCCACGTGTACCTCCCACAAGCTTTTTCTCTCTTAAAGAAATTAGGGTTAGAGAATGTGATCAATTAAAGAAGGTATTCTCATCTGGATGGCTGCTCTGCTACTTCCAATCTCTAGAGACTATTAAGGTTGAATGGTGTTCGCAAATGGAGGAGCTGATATCGTCATCGGCACATGAAGAAGAAAAAGTCACTCTACCCAAGTTAGAAAGGTTGGAATTGATAAGATTGCCCTTATTGAAGAGCATCTGCAGCAGCTCCAGTGTGTTGATTTGTGATTCCATCCAGAGTCTGAGGATTATCTACTGCGAGAAGCTAAAGAGGATTCCTTTGAATTTTCCCTTGCTTGATAATGCCCAATCATCTCATCCTCCTTCCCTCAAAGAAATTGATGTATTCCCAAAAGAATTGTGGGAATCATTGGAATGGGACCATCCCAATGCAAAAGACATCCTTTTCCCCTTCTGTAAATTTCAAGCAAGATTCTGGGAGAGCAGACTGTGAATGTAAGCCTTTTAATCTTCGATTTTCCATTTCTAATTCCACTCAGGATGAGTTTTCCATTCTTAATAAATCTCTCTCTCTCTCATCTATTCTTTTCTCCCCCATTGGCAGCAATTCGGATTCGGCTCCGTAACCATAAGAAAGTTGGAGGAAATCACATATGCACTGGTTGCTGTTGCCATTGGGTTTTCAATGTAATATAATCTTTGTTTTTCTTTTGCTGTGTGTGTTGTGTGTTTAAATATGTCCAATTTTAAGTGGAAAACTGGAAATGTTTGTTTCTTTATTATCTGTGTAATGTTGTCTTTGAAACTGTGTGGGAAAAAGACTTGAAACTGT